TTTATTGATATTGGACATCGATTAGAGAAGACTTTAATCGGTCGGACGTCGTTTTGGCAATACATGACGTCACATTGGACGTCGATTAGAGGGTAAAAATATTGGACACTGTTTTGAGAACCTGACGTCAGATTTGGACGTCAATTTAAGGAACGGACATCGATGAGAGACAGGACGTCGATTAGAGACCGGACGTCGATCTGAGTCTAACATATATATATATTTGTGATGCGTGGATTAATGATTGATGTTCAAATGGTCATCCTTTAACAAAATTCAAGGTGGTAGCATACTATTGATATAATGAATAAAATTGAGAATGGAAATGGGGAATGTGTCAAAGAGACAACAACCCGACCATAGAACAGACAACAGCAGAAGGTCACCAACAGGTCTTCAATGCAGCGAGAAATTCCCGCATCCGGAGGCGTCCTTCAGCTGGCCCCTAAACAATATATATACTAGTTCAGTGATAATGAACGCCATACTAAACTCCAAATTGTACACAAGAAACTAAAATTAAAAATAATACAAGACTAACAAAGGCTAGAGAACCCTCTTTGTACTAATATACTGACAAGATAACCCCCAATTTTTATTACCAAGGTTCAACAGGAGACAAACTATTGATAGCTTCGAGCTGGCCAGTTTTAATTTTACTCTAAAGTATTGTGTTTAATCGGCGAAGAAAGAAAAAAAAAAAAAACACTTTAAATCTCGTGTTGGTTGACCGTTACCACCGAATTTGTAATAACCATGAATAACATGACGGATTAGTGGAGCAGGATACGGGTATCCATCAGGAGGACCTTGGATCATCCAATTTTTGGTGGGGTTCCTGTTACCCAGTCTTGAATTTCATGTAGTATTTTATACGTCAACTTCGGGTTTCTAAAATGTTGTTTAATAACATTAACGGTACCTATTTTATTGCACTAAACGTCAATTTCTTATTGAGTGATGTCCAAAACGTAATACAAATATTGAAGAGCTAATAAAACAAAACGACTTGAGTGAAACAGACCACATATAAAACCCTATTAAAGTTGATACAAGGGTGCTTTGATGTGTAGATAGTGTGATATATCACTTAAAGAGGCTTTGAAATTATTGTTTCCAATTCCGTCGGACGTAGGTACGTATATTTCATGATGAGCCAAACAGACAACCCTTGCTAAAAAGTAAAATAGCAAAAATGCTGAACTCCAAGGAAAATTTAAAACAGAAAGTCCATTATCAAATGGCAAAATCAAAGGCTCAAACATATTAATCGAATGTAAATAACTGCAAGACACGAATCCTTCAGACGTTGAAACTGACAACAACTTCTATACACCGGGGTACTTTCTAGGACTGAATTGAGATGCACAATGTAGTGATGAAAAGAAGAATACAGATTTTAATAACATCGATAGAAACCAGACAAAACAATTGCCTAAGCGAAACGCCAAAAAGACCAATTGGACAAAATACTACACAGAAAACTACGCATAGAACGACACAAACTATAACAACATTATTTGGAGTGTGTTCAGGTGCTCCGAAAGGATAGAGATTCCCGCTCTACTAGTAATTCTCGTCGTTGTGTCCATAGCTAGTGAAATTCAGAACACAAGTTGCATTCTGTGATGTCAAAATTGAGTAAAGAGAGTGGAACTGAGGCTTCTACAATGGGAACATACCCGTGATAATAATAAACCAAATTATGAAGGTGTCCGTAAAAGCTTTTAACGGGATCAAAAGTTCAAGTTTCCTTTTTAGTAGCAACCCTTTATCAAGTAAATCATGATTCGAAACGCACGTTCTGAAATATCATATAAGCTGAGAGATATATACTCTATAAGCGTGTACTGCTAGAATATTGCTACAAAAAATGGAAAGCTTGCAATAAGAAAATTCCAATAATCCCTTCTTTCGCAAAGTGCAAAGTTTAGTTTTAAACCGATCGTCACTGGCACATTCTAGATGTAAGTCAAGATATGAAGCACAAGTAACTGTACTTGTAGTATCCTTTTTTTTTCAGGTTCATTGGTACATATATATATATGTATATACGACCATAGTAAAAAAAAAACGTATTATTGATTACGCTTTTAAAAAATTCCAGTCATGAAAAAATATACAGACCCTTATAGTCTTGCTAAAATGAACGAGTTAATGTCCTTGAAATAAAACCAAACGAGATGATTGAACAAAAAAGGTGTTATTACAACCCTTTTTAATAGGTCATTTATGCAAAATGAAAGATTCACAGCAACATTTGAACGGGGAAAGTGATTTAAACATTGGCATGTCTCCTTCTTTATCATTGTTATAATTAAGAATAAAACGAAACTGTGTAGTTTTACAGATCTTATGCACTATACGATCAAATAGGTCTTCGTAGCTGTCCTTATGTCTATAAATTGATTAGGGGAAACCTTCTGATGCGCATACAACCATGAAAATGAAATCAAACTTAAGTGTCAAATGTCTAGAATAGCATTGTCTCTTACTAAGATTACTATAAATATATATATATATATAGATATAAGAAGATGTGGTATGAGTGCCAATGAGACAACTCTCCATCCAAGTCACAATTTGTAAAAGTAAACCATTATAGGTCAAAGTACGGCCTTCAACACGGAGCATTGGCTCACACCGAACAGCAAGCTATAAAGGGCCCCAAAATAACTAGTTTAAAACCATTCAAACAGAAAAACCAACGGTCTAATCTATATAAAATGTATATAATATCTGCAATCAATTCCATCTTCATGCCTAATATATCATGTACTGTGTTACAACTCTGGATTCTACTGACGAGGAAAGGTAACACAAGGCCACCGAAAGCTGAATTTTTAGTTCAGTCTAGGTGGCCGAGTGGTCTAGAGCGCTGGACACAGTGCAGGTGGTGTTGTTTCGATATCCCAATAGCAAGAGTTCGAATTAGAGTAATTATGTATATATATATATATATATATATATATAAAATGACTGAATAATAGCCAACGATAAATCTTACGGGGCAATGGATCATATAAGTATGATACAGTACACTACAAAATATAATATATAACCAGTCTAAAAGGGTACAACATCACCAAAAATGACAATAAACGAACAAATGTAACTATAAATATTTCGGATAACAGATATCCTTCATCAGTATGAGCACGATGTAAACTGAATCAGATCAATCTATTCTGATTATTAAACTATAGCAATCTTGAATTCTATACAATAAAAAAAAGTGAAACAGTTTCACCCGAACATCATATGTAGAGACGCTAATAAATTTTTAAAATTTCCAAAAAAAGACTCAAAGACATGCCTAAAATGAAATAGTAATTAGAGATATGAAATGGCACAACTCTTAAATTCCAAAATGACGTCAGTTAAGATGTTACAACAACTGCGTGTAAATACATTCCCAAAAAAACAGCACTGATCGATATAAGCTGGTAAAATATGTCAAACAGAGGCTGCGTATTTATCTTCCCAAATAAATAGTAGTTTTATAATGAAAAGAAAAAATAATAGTAAATTTGGGCTAAGGTTAAAAAATTGGACGTGGATGCGTACTTGTACATCCCTACCAAATGAAAAGAACCCTGGTATTTAAACTAGTAAAATTCAAAAAAATCCAAAAGAATCCTTAAAACTGTAAGAGTCAAGTAATATATATATATATACAATTGTGTGTCTATTCTTTCTTTTCATTTATGCCCGTCTGGTCAGTTGTCTTGAATTTGTCAGCGCTCTAATAGCAAATAATAACATTAAAATTGACAATGGAAATGGGGAATGTGTCAAAGAGACAACAACCCGACCATAGAACAGACAACAGCAGAAGGTCACCAACAGGTCTTCAATGCAGCGAGTAATTCCCGCACCCGGAGGCGTCCTTCAGCTGGCCCCTAAACAAATATATATACTAGTTCAGTGATAATGAACGCCATACTAAACTCCAAATTGTACACAAGAAACTAAAATTAAAAATAATACAAGACTAACAAAGGCTAGAGGCTCCTGACTTGGGACAGGCGCAAAAATGCGGCGGGGTTAAACATGTTTATGAGATCTCAACCCTCCTCCTATGCCTCTAGCCAATGTAGAAAAGTAAACGCATAACAATACGCACATTAAAATTCAGTTCAAGAGAAGCCCGAGTCTGATGTCAGAAGATGTAACCAAAGAAAATAAACAAAATGACAATAATACATAAATAACAACAGACTACTAGCAGTTAACTGACATGCCAGCTCCAGACTTCAATTAAACTGATTGAAAGATTATGTCTTCATCATATGAATATCAGGCACAATCCTTCCCGTTAGGGGTTTAGTATCATACCATCATAACATATATGAGAAGAACATAACCCGTGTCATGCCAACAACTGGTTTTTAAATAAATGTGTTTAGTGCCGATGCAAAGACCCTATAAGTGAATCAATATTAACGCCAAAATATGCAATCTTTAATGACCTGACAACAGTATCGTAACTATATCCTTTCTTAATAAGTCTATTTAAAGGTTTTGTTAGCTTCAGAGGTGAATACTGACATTTTTGTGCTTTATAAAGAATATTTCCATAAAAAATATTTACCTATTTCATTGCACCAGAATACGGCATTTGATCTCTCTTCAACATTTGAAAGTCCAAAACCTAATACAAACGTCTTTGAAGTGCTGATAACACTAAATAGAACCAAAAGTAAAACCAAACCCGGAAAAGTAATCCGAGCTATGCATGAGGGAGATACATTCTTTAATTCAAAATGATTTCGAAATTTTATAACAGCAAATTTAAAAAGAATAGTTTCCGTATTTTCATACCAGAACCGAAGTGATAGCTGCTAGGATGGTACATTGTAATACACCCGGGGACTAACAGTCATTAGTTAAAACTCTCTCTCTATAAAATGAAACTGACGTCTACTTTAAGAAACTAATCTCAAGTCCTCTTGATTCACTGATGCGTTGTGTTACAAAAAAAGAAAAATACAACATGCTTCTAAATTGAATACTCATTATTTATTTGAAATGTTAATTATGTGTGTATCTTAAATTGACACTCTTCGCATCATCATCAATGAGCCTTTCAAAGAATAGTTGGATCCTTTCCAACTACGCCAGTAAACGCCTCGATGGTACCCGTTCGGTGTCTTCAGGAAATACTGACCATTCAGATCAGCTGTTACACAGGCATTAAACCACCATGCTCCGGGGTACACTGTAGCACAGTGACTAGAGTGGTTATCGTTATCATTATCCTTTGTTGAGAAACGATGGCCATTGTGATGTTCTAAGCTGTTACCTGAAAACACGAATACCACATTGAAAATTGAACTATATTAAAAATGAAAATGATTCATTGGTAAACATGAAGTTATCATCATTATTGTAGAAATGTAACAACCATTTTCTGTCCCCAGATGTAGGTGTGTTTGGGGTCAGGCATATACTGTGGATATTCTGGTAACAACGGTAACAAAATAGTATATTGCAAAACACAAATGATAGTAAAGAATTGCGCTGGTGTTTGCTGATCATCGTCTTGTATACGTCTACTAACTTTTGTCTCTCAACTTTGTTTAAGAACATTATCACAGATGTTAATTGAAAGTAATAAACTTTATATTCAATTTTTCTATTGCAATGATTTTTTGCATTTTTGTTAATGTCTATTTCCCGTTTTGTTGGTTTTATAATCCTATTCATAAGGTCGTCTATATTTTCCGGAGTAACATGAATTAGATCTAATAAAGATTAATCAATATTAGTACGTTATGCTGCTTCTCCTTTCAAATCAGTTGTTTTTCTGGTAGACTATCAATTGACATGTTCAATATATTCTAGCTAAGTAGGCCTAAAAGCAACCCATTTTTGTGGGGTTCGAATTACTCAATCTTGATATTTCCATTCGATGGTTTGTTTGAAGTAAATATAGGTATGCGTCAATGAGTCAGCAGCCAAACAACAAAAATATTCATGACATCTATAGAGGTCAACATACAGTCGTAAAACATAGTCAGGTGTTCATACAATGTACCGAGCTCCAATTTGTCACGAGTCTATAAAAGCTAACAGACGCATTCAAAGATATGCCATTAAACCAATCTCTCTTAAAACTAAAAACTAATATATGACATATGTCAACTACTATTGCCTATGAGGTTCCCTACTGTTGTGTTGGAGTACTCAAGTAAATCTCCCCCATCTTTTTAATATCAAAACAGATGACGAGAATAATGCATTTAAAAAAAAAACACAAACACATTAATCTTTTATGAACTGCTAAACTTTCCGTTGTGAAGGAGAACGTGTGCATATGATAGGTGAAAAAATGAACCGTGAAACACAATCAGATCTGAACACCATTGCATTCCTCATACTTATAGGAAATTACATTCGTTGTTTTTAGACTATTCAGTTCAACTACTACATTTGCCCATAAAATGAACATGTACGTTAAAAACAATAATTACCGAACGTACACCACGTTTGAAATGAGCAGTATATGAAAATGAAAAATAAACTTTGAAGATGAAAATAGCACTTTATAAGTTTGTATAAAATTCAGAAGGACGATATGTCAGAATGCAACCCGTTAAATGATTAACCTTTCTTTTTTTAAATCCAAGAATATTTTTGCTACGTTAATTACAAACCTTAAAGTAAAACCTTTATCAAGAATTTACATTATATTATCAAAAAGATTCATGTTTCGTATTCTTCAGATCGAGTATAAGCCCAGTGTTCTTCCAATACAATTTAACCAACTCTAAATCTCAAAATATCGTAAAATGAAATCCGTACCTGCAGTGCCATAATATCCATCTGCGGTAAGTTTGAACTTCGAACTTTCGTCTCCTATTCTAAACTCTTTGTATTTTGCAAATGCATTGTTTCCATCAAAATCGAATAAATCGATCCGCATTTCATACTTCCCTCGTGATGTTAGAGAGTGCAAAATGTCGTTGCCTAAAAATAATACAATATAGAATGAACAAATGTGATATGAAGGTCTGGATGGGGGTCCTTCATTTCTGTATTCTTTTATTTTTTGTTTGATTATTTCTTATCATTAAAAATAACGAGTATTCTGTAAAATTCTCATAAACATTACTTTACTACTAAATTTATCTGTAATAACATGATTCCTTTATTTTGTACATCCTTCATTTCCGTTATGAATATCATATTGCCAAATTCTTTTATTTCCACAGTTATTCTTCATAATATTGCACCCCGTTATTCTGTATTCTTTATTTCTTTTTGCTGATTTTTCTCTAGCTACTTATTAAGTTTTTTTGTCCATTATTTTGAATTCTGTAAAACCCATAAAGACCCTTTTGTATAATTGTCAATGAAGTACATGTAACTACCAAACATTTGGTAAGTGCAGTGTGTCTTACTCGCTTTTCTTGATTTACACAGGAAAATTTCACTTACATCAATTTCACGTGAATCTCACGTGAAATTTATGTGAATTTCACGTGAAAATCACATGAATTTTTTTCACGTGAAATTCACGTGAATTTTATATATAAAGTAATTCAAATAACTTCTAATTTTTCAAATTTGATTAAAACCATGAAAAATAGCAATAATTTTTTTGTAAAGTTCACGTGAAATTCACATCAAAATTTTCACGTGAGTTTCATGTATAAGCTTGTTTGAGGTGAATCTTACGTGAAATTTTTCACGTGAATTTCATGTGAGATTCATGTGAAATTTACGTGAGCAAATTTTGCATGTGTATCTTCATCAAGAACGCCCAAATCTAAACATTTCAAAGCTAGGGCTGATATGCATAAAAGTACTCAAGTTAAGACTTGTTTCGAACGGACGGATTTTTCCTCATGTCCTACAATAATTAGTATTACGATTGGATATCTTAACTGAAATGGTTTTATGTATATCAGCCCTGGGGTGTAAAATTATTTAAACAATCAGCAAACACCATACAGTAAAGAAAGCAAATTAAGACCCCGAAAAGAACAAATTTCAAAATAACTAAATGAGAAAATCAACGGCCTCATTTATGCTAAATCAATAAACAACAACACATACGACAGACGGAAAACAAGTTACTGACTTGATACATGCATATACAGAATGTGTCGGGATTAAACAGGTTTGCGAAATAAAATAACAAAAAGACAAAAAAGGTACTAGAAATTATTGAAAGAAAGCCATTGCTTGCATAAATCACAATTGTATTCTTTTATTATTTCGAACAGTAGCGAAAAAATGAATACCTTGGATTGAAATTATCAACTGTGTACAATAACCTACTACTATTATACAGGAAAATACATTGTTGTACCGCATTTGATGAAACTGGTAGACATGCGAAGTTGATCGAGATTTTTTTTGGTATCAATAAACGATATTAAAATGTGTCCGACACCCCAATCAACTTATAGATTTGGCTTCTTAAAAACATTACAAACCAGTATCCAAAAATGTTCATAACAATTGACGTACATGTCTATTGTTCCAACCTTATCAGATGTTGCTATCCGGCACCTTTAAATTTTAATTTCAATTTTAAACTTCGGTTGATTATAAGAATAAGAACATGTGGTATGATTGCCAATGAGACAACTATCTACCAAAGTTCAAATGATGTGGATGTAAACAATTATAGGCAACCGTACGGCCTTCAACAATGAGAAAAAACTATACCGTATATATAGTCGGCTATAAAGGGCCCCAACATGAAAAATATGAAACAATTCAATTGAGAAAACTAACGGCCTAATCTATTACAAAAAATTACAAAATACAAATATGACAGACATGAACCAACGACAACCACTGAACTACAAGTTCCCGACTTTGGACAGACACAAACATGTGGCGTGGGTAAACATGTTTGTAAGCGCTGAACTTTCCCCTTACCTTGGAAAATGATGTTTCAACCCACCCTAAGAACAAACTTTAAAATAAGTTGAAAAAGTTAAACTCATAAGATCGGTACAAAGTAGAAAAACATCTAACAAACAACACAGACCAGACGCGGCAGGGTATTTATACATGCCTAACAAAAAAAAAAGGCACAACGTACTGATCTGAGAGTACTCGCAGTTACGGAGAGCTCGTTCAGGACTAAACTATCAATAAATACACATCTAACATCCAATGGATTTAGTATAAAGACGTCATTAACAGTCAGAGAAAAAACATGACCCTGTGTAATACCAAAATATAGGTATCGACGGATTGTAGTACTGTGAAAATGCATTTGTGTATAACGTATACAAACAATATTAAGATTGGTTTTGATTTATTGATAGCAAAATCAATATTTGTACCAATAAAAACAATATTCAAAGATCTACAATGTAATTACAGTGTTGAATTAGTAACCTTTTAGAATAAGGTTATTTAAAGGATAGATAAGTTTACCCTGATCGTATCTAAATTTCATTTTTTAGTTTCTGATATTTTTTGAATAATCCACCTAAACTTTACCAAATGCGGCAAATAATATCCTTTGGAATCTAACTTGTTTAAGCTCTTAATCACAGGAAAAACATAAGGAATCTAAAGACAGACTGACATTCAGATTCATGATAATATTAAAGTTGTTTAACACATCGGATTAATAATAGTGTTCATCAATCATAACAATCATCGAACATGTTGTTTATTGACGTCATTAAGGTGGTACCCAACACCTTGACTAATAATAATTTGGCTCGTTTAATTTTCCTAAAAATTTACTTTGACCCTTTGACAAAAATATAAAAATTTCAAATAATTTGAACCAACCACTTTATCAGAAAAATATCACTGGTTATATAGCAGTTTGACAAACACTAATTTTGATCATTGAGAATCTTGATATTTCCTTAACAATACAACATGATTAAAACGTTTAGCTGATTTTTACAGAGTTATCTCCCTCTAGTGTTAGGTACCACCTTAAGTCATTGATAATTCAAATAAAATAAGAAATTAAAGTATATCAGATATTATTTAGAAACCATTTTAAATTTTTTAGACTATGAATATCCATACTTTACTTTTGACTTTTGACTTAGTGACGCCAATAAACAGCATGTTATTCTATTGGCTAATACCTTATTGAAGTTATGAAATATTTCTATATGCTAGGACTTAACGGTTTTCAATGATAGGTTAATTGGTGTTATACCTCCAGTGGCAAACACTACATGAATATCAGGAAGAAAACATGTCGATTTGATAGGAATATGAATTCTGCTTTCAACACGCTGAACAAGAATAATAACGTACTCGTTAATAAAGTAACAAACTGCAGGAAGGCATGTCACTCCATACTTTGACACATATTATTCTGGTTCCGAGTCAATATTCACTCTTACTCCTTAATGCAGCGTTTATAGCCAAGGGATATTATTTAGCGTATTTGGTCAAGTTTAGGTGTATTATTCAAACAATATCAGAAACTACAAAATGAACTGATTTGAAAAAAAGACAAGGGGATTGTGTTCATTCTTAGCTGATGATTATGAAAAATGTCAACTATAGTGTAATCATGTGCAAACTTACCAAGCCAAAACTCAAGCTTAGGGTTCCCGAATCCTGATTTGTAGTCATTCCATCCGCGATAAAAATCAACATAGCCATTTTCTCTTCTTTGAAAAACCTGTAAATAGATACATGACAATACAATGAGAAGTACAAGACAACTAATTTGGAAGAGGTTTGGAAACAAAACGTCATTGGTTTTAAAGATAGAATGTGTGAATACTCCTAACATGGCAACGTCAGAATATTTCATGTTCTCTGATATGTTGCAAAATAAAATCACCTCTTCATGCAAAGCTTTTGAATATAGGAATTAAATAAGCCGTGTAGCGCAATCTTTACATATCTATGTAGTATTTTTTTGTAATGTAAAAGATTGATTTTTATCCTTGTTTGTTTTCGGCTATGAACTTATCTGTTTTTTCCTTTTGTTCATTTATCTCTTCTCACTCTTTTTTATATACAAAGGGAATTCCAAGAAGCCATGCAAATTATCGTCATCGCTCCTTTAGGTGCGCAATATATTGAAATAAAATGTGTTTTATTGTAAACGTTAATCAATTTAAGGTAAACAAATCCGGATACACTATAAATCTTTCAAGATGTATTAAAGGGGCACTAGCTGTCAAATTCATGTTCACAGATTTGACTCAAGTTCTCATATTTGATTTATAACATACTAAAACCTATATCAAAATTACAATAAGTCTGAAATAAACAGTTAACAAAGCATGTACTCGATAATATATATCAAAATTTCGTGTGTATTTTAGTAGACTCCATCTAATTAACTATCGAGATGACCCCCGAATATTGCCGACGATCACTTATCCCGATATAAACATAAATATAAATATAAATAGATTGCGACCTCGTGCAATTGGATTTTTATAGGTCTGTTTGATTTCATGTTATAGGTTTAAAAAATAAGTTAATTAACGTTTTTCTGAATAAGAATGATTTTTTGTGGATCGAATCAGTCAAAGAAATGGTTCACCTTTGTTTCACTTTCAATGTTGATATTCTTTTCCTTTTAATGGCTGAACATGAATTATGCATGCGTAACCAATCTCTTGCTAATTGGTTAAATTGAAGGTCACATGAATACGGATTTAATGAGGTCGAATTATTCACTTGCAAGTGAATAATTTATCAGCGATATTTCTTTGCTAAGTTTGACAAAATTGAACTAAATTGGCTGCTAAAAACGAATTATTATTTCTTTATTTCACTTTTATTAATGACTGAACCAAACGAAATCATATTCTAATTTTAGAGCTAGTGCCCCTTTAATACGTTCTTTTTTGTTTAACAAAAAACAAAAAAAGAAGAAATAACAAAATGAAGAAATAAATAAGTTGGGATTTTCATAGACTTCAAAGACTATGTGAATATATTAATCTTCGCTAATCAACATGATACATGCATGTGCAATAAGGCCTAGTGTTCTTGAAATACCGAATATTAAATGGTACGTTTATCTTATATTTTTTCTTCTTGGGAAGGAATTGGAAAATTACAAGTTGGGAACTATTAAATTCGTTATAGCTCTTTATTCTAGCATTAGAAATATTTGTTTTGAAATGGTTTTTAGTTCTGAAAAGTAACTAACCGTCCAGTGTCCCTCGTCTAAATTCATTTCACAATAAACATCAATTCCTTGTGTATGCTTTGGAAACACTTTATATACTCCACTTGGACATTTGTCAGGAATATCATTACAGTCAATAGGTCTTCCTTCTAAAATAAGACCAAACCAAATGATTCTGAATGATTCTGGATTTTAAAGCGCACTGCATTTATCAATATCAACAGATGTACATCAAAATACTTTAAAGATTGATAGCAAAAGTGTGCCTTACATTTTGTATAGAGGCTTAACACAAACACAGTATTTTAGTAATTTTCATTGTTAAACATGCATCATATAAAATATATGAAACAATTTTTGCCACCGATTTAAAATCATAAAAGATATGGCTGTTAAAATCAAATCAGTTTTCAATATTGTGTACTTTAGAAGGGACATATTCTGTATACCACGATCTCTGCCACAGTCCAAACCCCATTTCAAAGGCCGACAAATCTACATATCTAGCTATAAACGTTAATGCACTATTTATTATTTAATTGGTGTAAGACAATAACATGCTATTTAAAAATCATATTCCATCTGCTCTATAGTGGGACTTTTTTTTAGAAATAAAATTAGATATTCAATAGAAGCTATATTTGTGATTTATAGTTAATAAATTTGGTACCTTTGCATTTTGACGGCCGTTTGGAATTATCCTTTGCACAAATTCCTAAAAATAAAAAAATAACACAACATTCAGTACATATTTATTTTATGTTAGCTATACCAACATTATGAACCTCTGGATTGGATTCACGAATAGAGAATACTTGGGAAAAAATAATAAAATACAACAAAAACAAAGGATAGACAATAATTTACTAGAGAAATCAATAATAGAGAATAATGTATGTTTTAAACATAATGAAAATAAAATTTTGGGGGTTCTTAAATATAACAAATAGAGAATAATGGATAAAAAAGATAAAAAGCCTATACAATTAAAACCTATTTAATGACAAGAGCTTGTGTTTTTAATTGTTAGATAGTTTTCTAATGTCAGACAACAACCTGCTTCACTCAAAAGCTGAGCTTTATTTTAATGTTGAAATCATCATTACAATATTTTATACCTTTAGTGTATACATCTATTTTCTTAATATAACTAACAAGATTCTTCAGTAGTTTCATCAACCAATTGAAAAAAACAAGGATGAAAAATGAGGAAATGGTTTTCATCAGGAGCAATTTGCACTAATGTCACGGTTCATTAATATCAAAGCCTTTCCTGTAAGTACAGTATTCATACGAAATTGCGTATATTATCTCAGAAAATGAATTAGCTTGTCTGTCTAGTACCAAGCCGTATACATTTCTAAAGTAGAAATTTCAACCTCCTGGACATGTACACTATGTTGGTAGAAGGACTGAACACTAACGGTATAAAAATAAGGAGATGCTGTATGATTGCCTATGAGACAACTATCCACCAGAGTTCCAATGCAGTGAATCAATTATAGGCCATGATGATCGTACGGTCTTCAACAATGAGAAAACAAATACAGACATGTTTTACCCCGCCACATTCTTTAAGTCCCTATTATTAAGTAATTATTAAACTAACACAGAGTGCACACGATGAAATGTCTCGCCTGTTGTACTGGTCATGATTGGATTTATGCTGCAAGTCTTTGAGAGAAAGATATAATAGCCAGTGACATTTTTTTCAAAAAGACTCTAATTTATGAAGTTTAATACACCCATATAATACACGGCTGTATTATATATCATTGCAAAGCTTATCAACTGTACTTTTTATGGTCAGACAAACCTGCCAGACAGACACGTACACCACAGAGACATTTGATAACCAAATGTAGTTGACCTTATGCTTAAAGAACATGAGTAACAGACCTTAAATGAAACTTGAGTTGATCAATGAAACATGGAAATAAGATCACGTTCAGATTAACTCTGTCAGATAGACATGTACATGTTGTTTTCATTCCATGCATCAAATATAGTTGACGTATTTCTTAAATTCTCGGACAAAAACACAAAAACTCAACATTGAACAATGAACCATGAACATGATATCTATGCTGGATCAAACCTGCCAGACTGACATGTACATTTTATAATCCTTCCCTACACAAAATATAGTAACTAATCATGAGATATATCAACACTTTACAATGAAAACTTAACCCTAATCACTGGTCCATGAATTGAAGTCGAGGTAAGACGAACCCTAACAGAAGGACAATGAGACCTTGCAAAGATCCCATTAACCAAATATAGTTATCTCATTACTCATAATAAGTGAAAAATTCTCATGAGAAATACTATACAGTTAAGGGTCAAATTTTTTCATGGAAATATGATGTGCAAATGTTATCTCAACTAAATATCAATTATCATTGACAAACCATGTATGTTTTATCTTGATCTTTAGTTTTAACAATTGATTGCTTTCAACACAGGAAATAGCAAACCACTGTCTTGCACGGGGGGGGTCTCAACATTGGATTTTGGGTATAGCTGTGCAGCTGGGATTTAAAAAATACCCCCCATTCATATATTGAATAATTGTGAAATCCCTACCTATACATATATTTCACAGCGAAATCATAACCCATTCATATATATGTATCAGCTCAAATAGTACTTAAATATATCACAATTGGTCAATTACTACCTATTGATATATTTCCTCGATAAAATTGCACCCCATTGATATATCTGACGTATCAAAAAGGGGACCCATTCCAGCGGCACATACCTTCATATAGGATGAGACCCCCCCCCCCCTCCCGTGCTGTCTTGCTTCCATTAATTCATTACAAGGAAAGCAAATCAAACTGCTTGAGAGCACTGAGTGGTAAAGATTACATTTGTTTGCAACGGGAACTAAAAATTATACATTCCATTGCATTAAGCATTAGAGGGCAATGCTAGAAATTGTAGAATGATATGATTTTTAAGTTATTTAAACTACAATTATTGGCATAGGAAAATGACTCCAATTATATTATTTCTTAAACAAGGGAATCATTCATTTTTAGAAAAGATACCTAACTCTGGAATACCTGGGTATATATATATATATATATATATATATATATCATTGATAAATGTATTGAAATATTTATGCATAGGATGTATAGAATCATGAGTTCGATGCACTATGTTTTGTTTGTCTCAAAAGTAGTGCTGAAGTCTGGAAAATTGATAACTATATCAAACCAGCCACATTAGAGTTTTGAATGCATAATTGCAATATATACAAAATAAATCATTCAAACAAGAGTGACATCAACCGACAGAAAAAGTTTGCATTGGTTCTACAAGGTTCAATAAGCCAAGTCGATTTAGTACCATGACATTACATTTTCTAGTTTTTTTTTAAATAAACAAGAAAAGTATCATATCAATATTTTCAGTGATATCAATATAATGTAAAATTAGACCAGTAATGCAAGTAGTCAGTAATATATTGTAACTTACTTTGACATTTTTGTGAGTATTTAAGTCCCCCTCCCCTCCAGTAAGAATTTGTCTTATTTTACAATTTACTTATTTTACAATTGAAGTACAACTATTTGAAGTTAGCTCTGGCAATTTGTGCACTATCAAAATATCCTGGTTGTGAGAATATACATATGTACATACCTTTTGGAAGTCGGCTGAGTATTTTTTGCAGTTTTTCAGTGTTATCAGCTAACTTTGATTCTAATTTTTGTAACCTCCGTAAATAATCTCCATTTGATACTGAAAAAAGTATAAGAAAAAGAAAAACAAGCATAATTCACCTTTTGTTTGTTTTTGTTTTTGACAAAATTTAGAACTTTCTGTGATATTTTTTTAAAAGTTATTTTTGAAAATCGAGATAGTGCGTATTCTAAGAAAAACAAATGATCACGCAACGATGTCATTAGATGTCGTGTTATTGCAATATAAAAGAGATAGTTTGCTAGTGTATATTTTATTAAACAACTCAAATAACAATATTAGGACACTATTGATTTTGTCAGAACTGCAAACTAGATATGTTTACAGTAGTGACAGTCAGTGAAGTTTTGAGGAGGTGGTACTTTGATTTAAAAAATGTCCAGTGATTTTATTTTTTTATGTAGATAATTGGAGTATTTAGACCTTGACCATACAACGAATGATAGAATTAAAAGATAAATTGTTCATTATTTGGAATTATTAAGTAATTGCAGCAATATCTAATTTTTACACGTTTTCCTATTCAGAGATATCATACAGAATTTTCAAGAAAAAACCGCAAAAGTTTATTATTCCAAGTCCATGCATTTGCCAGATCACATGATATTATGTCAATAGTGGTATAAAAGGTATAGCTTGCTTTAACTAAGAATGAGGTATGCTGTAGCCTAAAATTTGGTCCCTTCATTCAAAATAAAAAAGCACAATCATCTAAAAGTAACAGCAAAAAGAGGAAGAAGGTACATAATGTACAATTACAAACCTTAATTAAAAATAAAACCAGACTACACCATGGTATGAACAAAAAGACGAAAACACATTTATTCGACAGTAAATAATTTTATACTATTTTGCACACACACACGAAAGCCGAGAAAGTTTACACTTTGATACTCTACCGAAAGCTTTGTTAAGTTTGGTTAGAATTTTCAAATCCGGATGGACAACACTGTTACCGTAGAAAGAACAAAACATTTGAAAATAAATAGGACCAAAAACAACAATGAACACTAAAGTAAATGCAACATAAACCCCTTTTAAACAAAACGAGGGGTCCATAGTTAAAGTAGCTTTCTTGTAAGCAGCAACCCTCTATCAAGGAAATCAAGATAGGAAACGCAATCCCTTAATTATTGTAATGTATTGATTCTTATATATATAAGTCTAAATTGAAAACAACGTTCAAACCTATGATTGCGTTGGATAAAAACCGCAATCTTTATACGTGTGCATGCCAAACAAATTTCTTGGTAGAGGGGTCTAAATACAGCACAAACAACATTTTCTAAAAGACCAACAAAGTGAAATAGTATATGATCCGTTCATCCTATTTCGACTCTTCAAAATTCAAGAGTCTATCCTAAATTGAGGTAAATTATATGGCCTTCCAAATACAGTTTCGATTCATAACATCACTGAAGATACATTAATTGTCGAAATCCGGATATGATGTACAAATTTTTGCACGTCATTTTTGTGGTATACCATCTTTTGCACAAGTTTATTGTTTTCTGTTTGGTATTTAATTAATAATAAATATCCATTTTGTTACATCTTGTGATCCGTTTATTTGGCAATCGTCAATAGCAGTCAGCAGGGTTTAAGAACATCCGTTGTTCGACCTGTTAGTCGAATGCGTTTTGTTTAAATATACTTTCACTTTTTTGGTCTTTTGAAAAATGATTCTTATATATATATGTAAATATATATTCCATATGCAGATGCTGTTAGAACGTAGCGGCACAGGAATGGAAAGTTCACATTAGGTAAATTGAAATTCTCGCTTTTATCAATAAGTGTCAACCGACTCTCATTTTCACTCTTTAGATGTGCAGCAACAAAGAGTCTGCTTTACCCGTAGTAATCTTTATAATTATTTCTGCATCATTGGGATTGTTGTAGTAGAATTAAGGCGACAGTAGTTGATCGATGTTCAAATGTCATAAATCGATAAGGAAAAGACAAAGGATACATCTGTATCAAAAGAATATAGGACCTTCTCTCATTTTAACTTTTTTTTTCTTTAACGGAATAGTTTGATTATCAAATTAGTGATGTACGTCGGATAAGTCGGCTAATCTGTTGTAGCGTCGATTTTTAAATCCCTTTCAAATTTGATATGTTGATTTATTTTCAAATAGATGTAAAAGGTAAGGTGGATGATTTTTCCTTTTTGTCGTTTAGGAGATTAAGACGATAACCGGAGCGATAAGTCGTTTCCATGCAATAACCTGGGAACTGTTTAACGAATCAGTTTCAAATAATTTTAAAATGATTTTTCTTGTGACAAAATGTAAGTCAAGGTGTAATACCACCATTGATTTTTCCCTATTAGTCTTTGTTAAATTTGCACTTTTCAAAAAATTGTGCAGAATTTATCTTTGTTTCAAATAAAAAAATACTTGGCATGAGTAAAGTTTTATCCTGTCCAGTACTATAGAAAAAAATTCACATAGTATTTCATTGTATATAAGAAAATAACCATCACTGGAAGTTAACCAATCAAATTTTCCCCCTTTTTTAACCTGTGTACAAGCTTTAGTAACCATGTAACCTCAAGTTTCCAAAATATTCTATAGAAACCCCAAATAAAGAAACAATGGTGCTTTGAAATACCCAAGATATATGTTTATGACTCAGAAATGTTTTACTGCAATGAAATGTAGGATCAATTACCTACAACTGTCAAATTCAAGGGAATATTTTTTTCGACCTATTTTCGTATGCAACCGGATGTGACGTACTATGGTTTGGTGGTATTACACCTAAAGAAGACTTAAATAAACTTAATGTGACTTTTTTCCTTTGTAATACTGGTTATCTCAAGCATTCCTGTCAAGTTTTGTCATAATCAGTTCAATAGTTTGAGAAAAATCTAGTACAATGTAAGACGACATCTACAGCGATTCGAGCAAAATTTCTTCGAAAAATTCAAACCAAGCCGCATCATGATAGAATATAGTGTGGACCAATAAATGATCAAATATTTATCTCATCTGCCAACAAACAGTTAAATATGATACAAAAGATGACTTTAGGATGATAAATACTACTAATGGACCTCTTTGTTTTCCTTATAAGGTCTCTTTTGGTCCATTTATACCTCTCATTTCCTCAAAATTTCTACTTTTTAGGCCAATAAATAAAAATTTTGGGATAACTTTCACTCATTTATGGTAGAAATGTTATTATAAATGATTAATTGAAGTATTCAATCTGAATGAACTATCCGTATAAAAGTTTACCGTCTCCAAGGAGGTTTCAATAAGTCCTTACGTAAAACTTAAATTTACGGCGCGTTCCAGAGAGGGACATAAAAAACTTCTCTTTTGGTGAATAATTTGTTGTTACTGCTTTAAAAATAATTTTATTTACTTAAAAGTATATATTTATTAAAGTATTTCTTAGGAAAAATTTTCTAGTATAGAAGAATATAAGAAATAAGGAAAAAAACTCCCAAAACTCTAAGTATGGCTTGTTCTGTCAACTAATATTCATGGTAAAGTCCTATTTCAAGGAAATTTTCTCATAAAATGTATTTTGGAGACTAAATTCACTCAGAATATTTCATTATTTGTAATATTTCACTTAAATAGCAAGAAATTTTAACACATGAGAGTACTCACAAGGTCAAAGGTGCATGTACAGCTTCCCATATTAGGTGTAATACCACCATTGATTTTCCCCAATTAGTCTTTGTTAAATTTGCACTTTTCAAAAAATTGTGCAGAATTTATCTTTGTTTGAAATAAAGAAATACTTGGCATGAGTAAAGTTTTATCCTATCCAGTACTATAGAAAAAAATCACATAACATTTCATTGCATATAAGAAAATAACCATCACTGGAAGTTAACCAATCAAATGTTCCCCCTTTTTTAACCTGTGTACAAGCTTTAGTAACCATGTAACCTCAAGTTTCCAAAATATTCTATAGAAACCCCAAATAAAGAAACAATGTGCTTTGAAATACCCAAGATATATTTTTTTTATGACTCAGAAATGTTTTACTGCAATGAAATGTAGGATCAATTACCTACAACTGTCAAATTCAAGGGAATATTTTTTTTCGACCTATTTTCGTATGCAACCGGATGTGACGTACTATGATTTGGTGGTATTACACCTCAAGTTTAATTTTGACGATTTGCGCTTTTTTGTGTATGATTTACCTTCTGTATTTGATTGAAAGATAACATTTTATTTTGTCATTTCCGTATGCCATTTCATAATTACTTAGTTTCATAAAGTAAAGTTATGTAAACAGATTCGAAAACCTTTTTTATTTCATAATGAGTTAAATATGTACATAAATATAAAGAATAATAAAAGTCAGGATCATCATTTGTGATGGACCACTAACAGAGCATATCGCAAGATCCATTCTCATTGGCAATATATAGGGCCACCATCCTCTATCGTGATCAGCCATTAAACAACTTTTGAAATTAAAAAAAAAATGTTCAAAATGTCTGCAATGAGGTCAGTAAACTAAAGATTGTACCAATGATTGAGCTTGTAAAAGAAGGACACAAACAAAATGCCTGTACCAAAGATACGTTTTCAGACGTACATGAAGAATCAGGTAAAAGAAGCCAAAAAGGAAAACAATGAAACAAATGATGCGGATGATGAAACATCAGAAGCTGAAAATGATATTAATGCAACACAAACATTCGTGCAAAGCAACAATGATATAATATGTGAAGATGTATCAGCTCCTGGATGTAAAGATGACAACGGACAGTCGAAATCTATTCTAAATACAGTAGCCGATTCAATACAAAGACTGAAGAAATTCAAGAAAAAAGGGCAGTTATAAAGAGGGTAATCCCATTCAGCTAAAATAACCTCATTGATGCCAAGTAATCAGAAAACAAAATACGCAACTAATAAAACCTAAACTTTATATACGTATTCAACATTTTTAAGATCATTTTACTCCTAACAACAACCATAATAGCCCAATTTCTCGTATCAAACATAAGCTAAAAGAACTCGCCAAGGAATTTGTTTTTGTCCCGGCTGATAAGGCTGCTAACAATATCATTATTGTTTGACGTAAATTTTACATTGAGGTTCTACAAAAGGAAATCACAAATTCACCAACATTTCAACTGACTCCATTTTCGGAAATGTCATCTGTAACAAACATAAA